CCTCTGGACCGGGGTGCAGCCCTCGCAGAGAGGAGGGGCCAGTGTGAACGCAAGTCTCACCTCTGACCCCAACAGCAACAGCGGGTGTCCATCCGGACAATTCTGCGCCTTGCACACTCACTGCATGCAATAGTGCCAGCGTGGGCGTCCCTAGTCCCATTCTTTTTTTTGTTTGTTTGTTTCAAAATATTAACAGGCTACAAATGTCTTTGTTACGCAGATACCTCGTATAAGGCTTAAGGCAGGGCTTTTCGTCAGCACTCTTAATATAAATTTGCTTGCCGTGGACAGTTATCTATGCGAAGGTTTTTCGTTTGCTTAAATCCAATTATTTTTTTTCTGCTAAAGGCAGCTCAATCCCTCCTTCAGAAACACGCGTGTCTTCCTCCCAGCAGCCGGCCGCGGTTCAGGCATTCTGCCGTGTAAGTAATTATGTCGTTACGGTATTTTCTGTCTCTGAAAATCTTCAAAATGTTAATACGTATTATGACATTTTTTCTTTTTTTTTTTATCGTGGAGGAGGAAACAATTCCTGGATGATTAAAAATAAAAAAAAAAAGACAAGACTTTATCCGCGAAAGGCTGGGGGTGGTTGTCAGGGAACCTGCCCTGGCATCTGCGGGGCCCGCTAATGAGGACGCCGCGGCCCCATGAAAGTCCGCGCGGCCCCGGCGCGGAGACCGGCCCCACTTGCTGCAGCGGAGCTCGGCTGGCGAGTTACCGAGAGAACAGAAAGAATCGTCACTCCCCAGCTGTTCTGTGGCAGGACACAATGTTAAATGCGAACCATTAAATAGTTCTGGAAGCAAAAGAACAGGTGGCAGACGGCTTCCGAGGCAGATGGTAGTTTTTAATATTTGTATTTGATAGTATTATAATTTGCTCTAGCGTAGAGACCAGAACGACTCGCTCACATTTTACCTTTCTCACTTGCGTGCTGAAGAAACAGAGAGCCAGGTTTTAAAAATAAATATCATCATTCTTAAGAGAAGAGCCACAGCACGCGTTCCATCCCACGGGGGCGGGTTCCGGGGCTCCGGCCACCCAACGCTGGCCCCAGGAACGCGGCCTCGGACCCCGGCCCCCCTCCCGGCACGAAGGCTGGGCCGGGGCCACGCAGCCCCGGAGACCCCCGTGCCTGTCGGCAAATCCTCCCACGTTTCCTTCATTCTTCCCTCGAGGAGTGGGTGGCACGTTCGTCCCACACACTAAGCAACAAACAGGATACAAGACACCTCCCCTCCCCTAAACGTGTTCCCTCTCTAACCTGAAGCTCTAAGAGTTAACGTCTCTTTTAAAATTATTCTAACTGAGATTGCAGGTGGGGGCGGTGTGGTGGTGGTACTAGCCATGTTGCCCAGGCTGGCCTTGAACTCCTGGCCTCAAGCGATCCTCCCGCCTCGGCCTCCCGAGTAGCTGGGACTCCAGGTGCGTGACGCCACACCCGGCTGAAGCTTGAAGGAAAAGCTGGACGTGAGTCGAAACCACTTGAAGACAGCAAACAGGGAAGACATCTCTGCCCTGCGGAATCCACGTGGGGTGGGGGGGAGGGGCGGGCAGGCGCCACCTTGCCGGGCAACAGCATCTCCAGGTAACCCAGTCCTGCACCTGCACCTTCCCCACCGCACCCTCCGTGTCGGAGCACGCAGGTGATCGGCAGGTGGGCGTGCAGCCTGGGGAGGGGCCCTGGCCTCGGGGACTTGCCGGGTTGCTGCACGGGGTCAAGGCTCAGAGAATGGGCACCTACTGCGGGCGGGTGGGGACAGATAGTCACGGACACCCCACATACACACAGACACCGCGGGTGACTTGCAGCCCGGAAAGGGGCCAGGCTTGTGCACAGACCCGGGATAGCAGGGCCCAGGGGGGCCCCTCCGCGTGTGGTCTGGCGGCAGTAGCGGCCACCTGTGCACCTGCCCACGACACCCTGAAAGGGAGCCCTCCGTTCGACTGCACCTGGACCTGGCCGTGGGGGTCTGTAACTATCACACGGCGTCTTACCGGAGACGCTCGATCTCCTGGCAGGCAGGTAATTAAGCTCATCCTTACGGCTCTGTCTTCGTTCCAGCGCGGAGCCGTTTCCCTCGGGCCCTTGAGCTAATGGAATATTAACTCCCAGGCGGGCTCACTCCACTCCAAGCAGGTCTGCGCGGGGCGCTAGGTGGAGTTTCAGTGACGGAAACCACGGTTTCGTGAGGAAGGCTCCGCAACGTTCTGGGCCAGATAAGTCTTCACCGTGGGGTGGTCCTGGGGGCTCCAGGATTGGGGGACCCTCCCCGGCTTCCACCCACCGGGTCCCAGCAGCAGCCCCCGGTCCATGGCACCAAATGCCGTCTCCAGACATTGCCCAATGCTGCCCCCCCACAGCAAACGCACCCCCAGCTGGGAGCACCAACCCAACCACGTGCGGCCGCTGACTTGCATTGCCACGCTGAGGGGGTAATAGTCAAGCTCATCTACATAAAATGGGAATTATTTTATGAATAAAACCAGAATCATTCATCCATAGATAAACTAAAGGTCACACACGCTCTCATAAGATCACCATGAGTGTGAGCTGCATTCTCCTGCGTGTGCCCGAGCCCGGGTGCTGCCGCCACTGCCCGGTCCTCTCTGCCCGCCCAGCCTCCCGCCCACACGGCGTCCTTCTGCCCTGCCCGGCGCACCTGTTTGAGGGGTGTCAGGAACGTCCTGTCGGGGTGCCCGGGCGCCACTGGGACTGCTCACAGAACAGGTGACGCCGCGGTCCCAGGCGTCCCGCGGGGCAGCGGCTGAGAAGACAGCCTGGAACGGCCCCAGGCACGGGCTCTACCCCTCCCTGCCCCACAAGCCCCGCTTTCCAGAGAGTGCCGGGGGTTTGTAGAGGTTTCCTGCGGGCCTGGCCTGCCTCACTGCCCTCTGCAAAGGCCTCGAGGAGACGGCCAGGACCACACTACCAGGTCCCACTGCACATCAGCCCCTCACCGGGCGCCCCCGGGTAGGGCCCGGGACTGGCCCAGCTGCTCACAGCGCCGACTGGTCACTGGTCCGACCCGGCCCCTGACTGTGCGTCAGCCCTGACCCGACCCTCTCCTGCAGAGCAGGCTTCCGGGTCCAATGGTCAGTGCCACTTCTGTGCGGGCGATGTCAGCAGCTACCGTGTTTCCCCAAAACCAAGACTTACCCATAAAATAAGCCCTAGTGACGGGCGTGGCTACGCAGCGCATCTGCACAACCCACGCATATTGTCGCGGAGCGGCAAAGAAGACGAGCAGCCCTTCTCGTCTGCCCCGTCATGACAGCTACTGTCCCAGAGGTGACCGGAAAAGTGTGGGCAGCCCCACCAACAAGGTCGGCTCCCCCTGTCAGAGGTCCCAGCCATCCTGTGCGTGCTGCAAGCTGAGGCTTTGAGGGGAAAATAACACGTTCCCCTGAGAATAAGCCCTAGGGAAACATAAATATAAGACCCTGTCTTATTTTCGGGGAAACACGGTACCTTTGGAGTGAGGTCCCTTTCATCCTGCTGACAGCCCGATTCTCAAGAAATCTACAAGATCGATAATGTTGACGCCTGTCTTTTTCTAGCCTGGTGCACACTACGGCAAATTTGATTACGGAGCTTTATCAAATGCAAACATGAGAAGATGCCTAATTATCGTGTCACTTTATAAATCATGTAAGAGATGTGGAAAGGGAAGCCACCCTGGGGGACACAGTTTTTTTGGTTCTCAGATTAATTTTCTGGAAAATAGTAAGTCACCCTCAATAAATGTCAATGGGATGATGGATTCTAACCAAATTCTCGGCGCAGTTCTAATTTATGTTCCACGTAGAGATCATCAGTGTGTTTTACTTTCTCCCTACACCCCAGTGCACGCATGCTGGCATGAGAGATAGAAGTGAGATTTTGCTCACGAGAATACAACAGCCTATTTACCAACTAATGCATCAACCAGTCTAGAAACAGCCAGTGCCCGAGGCCCGGTGCCGGCAAAGACCTCGTTAGATTTACCAGATACAAAGTCAACAAACCAAAAACGCTCCCAGAAATGGGAAAGTAGTGAGACTAGGTTATTGTCTCTTTACCATGAGCGAGTACCTATATATTTATACATGTGTGCACATGACAATCTAGTGGTGTGTTTTCTGTTACTGATAATATAGCAATTAATGACACCGTCTTTTGCAGAATTTCTACCTAACTTCTCCGTATCACGTGAACAATTAAAACGATGGTGCCATCTCACAAGAATTGAGGATTCACTCTGAGCCATTCCAAATCAACGTTGCTATTGCTGTTTGGATAAGCGAAACACCTCACCAGGTGGCTGGGCCACGGCATGCTGGTCACAGCCGACGGACAGGCAGGTGTGGCCATGAACACAGGCGGACAACAGAGCTGCAGCCGGCCAGGAGCCCGGGCCTGCAGTCCTCCCCCCGAGCCTTCTCCAAGGCCCACCGGCACCTCCCAGAACACCAGCTGGACGGCCAGCGCGGCCCGGCCCAGCCCTGCCCCGAGGGGTTTCTGGAAAGCAAGCGGGCCGGCTGCTTTTACCAGCCCCGATGTCTCTGTGCCACCCACAACTGTGGGACTGGCTCCTGCCGCGCTGGGCGGGCCCCCAGCCCACGTGTCCAGCGCGGGGCTGGCACCACGCACAGACGCTGGGCTCCTCTCGCCACACGCTCCCCTCCTGTCTTCCACGCCCCACAGGAGAAATCCCGCCTGCCCGGTCCCCACACTGCCAGGATGCTCTGGGTGCCTGACGCCCCCCCATGGAATCAGTAAATGCAAGTCTCCTTTAAGTCTCCTTTCCTGCAACAGCGACTTCAGACTTGGCTTCATGGCAGAATGACGCATCTGGCCCCAATCTACTGTCCCTCCCCGGAGCTGGGCTTCCATGTCCCGCGAACCCGGGGCCAGTGGCCGCTGCGGGGAGCTGACCCTGGGACTACCGGCCCCCCGGGCACGGCGCGGCGCTGTGAGCAGCAGGAGGCAGGAAGGGGGCCCGCTCTGTGCCTACCTGCGAAGGGGGCCGTCCGCAGGGGTATTCTGATGGGTGCCAAGGTCAGGAAGTGGCACGGCTGCATGACGCTGGAGGGTGACGGGGCCCGGAGGCCCTCGGGGTCCACAGAGACCATGGCAGCGGCGGCGGCGGCAGCGGCGGCAGCGATGGCGATTGTGGGCCCATTGCTGAGCGGCTTAAGGCTGTTGTGGCAGCCACCTGCAAGAGAGGGACGCAGAGGGTCAGTGTGGGGACACATGCCAGGGTCTGCAGGTGACAGACGCCCCTCCCACAGTGTCAACACACGAGCCCCCCTTTCATGGAAGCCCTGCTGTGGCCACCAACCCCAGAGGAAATGTCTGGGACGCGTTCTCGACCTGTCACAGCGCTGACATGCACCTGGCGCTCACGGTGAGCCACGGGGCTCACGGGCACCAGGCCCAGCCGGCCCCGTGCGCCGTACAGAGAAGCGGCTGTGCCGTGGTGCACAGGCCTCGAGTGTGCAACCAGAACGGTCGTGGGGCACGCACCCTCACACAGAGCAGCGGCCGACCGGCCCCCGGGCAGCACACGCAGACGTGGGTGGGTTTGTAGGGGGCCTCGAGGGGGAGGGGTTTCCAGAGCACACAGGGCCGAGCTCGTCCACGCGGCTCCGCATGGGTTCCCACGCCCTCCCCCGGGTCCCCCTTAGAATCCAGCTTGTCCTTTCAGGCACTAGAAGGAAACATCTGAAAGTTTCCGAGCCTTTCCAGTAAAGCCTGTTTTTATTTTTTTCTTTCTTTTAATAGAATCCTCAGCTCCTCAAAGAAATGTGGTTTCTAAGAAGTATTTTGTAGGCACCATTTTTATGGATGCTTGACCAGTCCTGGACAGAATTTTGGAAATATGTTCCAAAAATCTTAACGTAATTCACAACTCTCGATCTGGCCTCTCCTCTCCCGTGGTCCTTCCACTCTCCTAGCGCCTGAAGACAGAGGGCGGTATTGAGGCCCTGGAAACAGCGGAAGGCTAGTGGTCGCGTCAACAACGGTGTGTCCACACAGCGGGCCGTCAACAGTGCAGTCACACCGAGAGAGAGCACGCAATGCCGTAGCTTGCTTATGACGGTAGCTCGTTTACGCCAGCAGCGAAGAAGCCTGGAGACCGAGTGGCAATGAAATCGCGAAAGGCGTTTTCCAGAGCTTGTGGAGAATGGAATATTTTTTCTTGCAAGAAGTGGTCCAAAGCCTGGAGGAAGTGTTGGTCAGTTGGTGCAAGGCCTGGCGAATACAGTGGGTGACAGAGAGTTTCCAAGTCCAGCCTCCGTAGTTTGAGCAGTGTTGTTTGTGCCACATGTGGTCGAGCGCTGTCTTGAAAAAGGACTGGCCTGTCTCTGTTGTCCAATCTCAGCTGCTTAATCGTAAGCATCCTCATCGTTTCGTCCACCTGGTTGCAGTAGACGTGCACTCTAACAGACAGACCAGGTTTCATGAGGCTGTAGTGGATAACACCAGCGCTGGGCCACCAGACAAACACCAGTAGCTTTTTTGGATGAATATCTGGTTTTGGACGGGGTTTCGGCTCTTCCTCTTTGTCCAACCATTGTGCCAAATGCTTGCGATTGTCAGAGAGAATCCATTTCTCATCACACCTAACAATGCATTGTAGAAACGGTTCACCTTTGTGTCGTGACAACAAAGACAGGCAAGCTTCGAGACGGTTTCTCTTCTGATGCTCACCTAATTCACGCGGAACCCATCTATCCACCTTCCTTACCTTGCCCGTTTGTTTCAAACGGTCCAACGTTGCTGGGATAGTAACGCCAAGCCTTGCTGCCCATTCACGCGTGGGTGGAGATAGATGGGTTCGCTCCCACTACAGCTTTCAGCTCATCATGATCCACCTTGGTCTCGGGTCGCCCACGTGGCTCACTTTCAAGATTCAAACCACCAGAACGGAACTTCTCAACCCGTCGACACACTGTGCGTTCATTAGCTGCGTCCTTCCCAAACACTGTGCACACGTCCTAAACACAAGTGGGCGGGTGGGGGGCGCTCAAACACGGTCACGGAGGCGTCCGCGACAGCGAGCGCCATGAGCCCGGTGCAGGCAGGAAAGCTGTGGGTCGCTGTGTTTTCCTCTGTCTCTTTCCCGGCACCCGAGGCCGGACGTCTGGGGAACTGAGCGCAGGCACACGGCTCCAGGCCAGAAAGACGACACCACCCCTGGCACTGATGCAAAGAGACAAACACCGTCGGGGGACGCAGTGCCCAGGGACACCAGCCGTGAAGGACAGGAACCCACAGGAGCCCTGGGACGCCAGCTGCCGCCCGGGAGATGCCTCCCAGCAGGGCTGGAAGATGAGCACCCCCAACTGTGTCGACTGATAAATAATTACGACTTGCTCCCCCGGGGACAGCAGAGAATCCCTTCGCTGAGTAAATAATGGTGAGATGAGACAGGTCCAGCCAAAAAGCCCTGCTAAGCCGGCTCAGAGACAGGCCAGAAACGCGAGCCCGTAAAGGTGACTTAGAAAAATCAATATTTTAAGCAAAACGGTGATTCATCGTGGGCTTCCCTTGCAGACATCCCGGGGGGCAGGGGGAGGGTGACAGCAACAGCGCAGGGAGCCCCGTGCACGCAGCCCCGCCCTCCGCCGAGCTGGTCCCTGCTGGCATCTGTGCCGGTACTGCCGGCCCGCCCTTCTTCTTGGCGCCCACGCTTGCAAAAGAGCTTTGTTTGCACGTTTTATTCTGATAGCCGCGAGAAGCGGACTTCCGCCGCCCCGTGCGTGGACTCAGGAAGTCGGCTCAGCGAGGGCTGCAGGACCCGCGCCAAGGCCCGTGGTGAGTGGCGGCGCCAACGTTGCCGGGTCGGGTGTGTCTGGCCCAGCGCCACCCCGCAGGCTGCAGCCGCCTTCCCTCCGGTGCCTCTGAGCGGACCAGAGCGTCCAGAGACTCTCCTCCTCGCAGGCCCGGAGCCCGCCTGGGCCGCGTGCACAGCCACGACTGACGCCGGACGTCCTGCAGACCCCGTGGGCCTCGGCACCTGCGCTCCCCGCAACTCCTGCCTCTGGAACCGGGGGGCCGCCCGGCAGCTGGACTCTGCTTTTCCCAGAGCCTGGCGGAGAGGAAGGAGGAGGAAGGGGGTGGGAGGGAACCGGAAGGTCGGGCGGGCCACGCCCAGCGTTGTGCAGGCCAGCCCCAGCAGCGCTGGGAGGCCGGCTCTGCGGGCTCCTCTTCCTCTCCGGAGCAGGGGCCGGCACAGGCAAGGGGTGGGGAGGACGGTGGGGAGGAGGGTGGGGAGAATGATGGATAGGACTGGTGGGGAGGATGATGGAGAGGATGGAGAGGAGGACTACAGGGAAGACTGATGGGGAGGAAGTAGGAACATAGACGCTGGAGATGAAACTGAGAGAAAAGTGAATGAAGACTGATAGAAAAGTGAATGGAGGAACTGATGAGAAAGTGAAAATGGAGAGATGATGAAGTGAATGTAAATTTAGAAAGATGTAAGGAATGGACGGAGATGTAGGAAGATGAGGAAGGATGGAGAGAGTAGAGATGATACGATGGTAGAGATGAGAGGAACCAGAGAACTGCGAATGTAGGGGAAGAATTGTAGGGGAAGAATGGTAGGGAAGAATGGTAGGGAAGGAATGGTAGGAGGATGGAGGAGGATGGATAGGGAGGATGGGTAGGGATGGATGGGAGGGAAGAATTGGTAGGAGGGAGGAGGGGAGGATGTAGGAGGAAATGGTAGAGAGTAGGAGGGATGTAGGAGGGATGGAGAGGGAGGATGGAGGAAGGGATATGGTAAGGGAAGATGTAGGAGGATGGGTAGGGAACAGGTAGGGGAGGATGGAGAGGATGATGGAGGGAAGGAATGGGTAGGGAAAGGATGGTAGAGGATGGTAGGGAGACAGGTAGGGAGGGATGGAGAGAGAATGGAGGGAAGGGAAGGTAGGGAAGATGGTAGGGAGATGGTAGGGAGGACAAGGTAGAGGATGGAGAGGATGGATGGAGGGAAGAATGGTAGGGAAGATGGTAGGGAGGGATGGTTAGGGAAGGACAGTAGGGAGGATGGGGGATGATGGAGGGAGGATGGTAGGGAGAATGGTAGGGAGGATGAGAGAATGGTAGGGAGGACAGTAGGAGTGGATGGAGGGGAGGATGGGAGATGTAGGGAGGATGTAGGGAGGGACAAGTAGGGAGATGGAAGAGGATTGGATGGAGGGGGAGGGATGTGGATGAGGTAGAATGGTAGGAAGGGATGGAGAGATGATGGGGAGAGGATGGGTGAAGGAGGGTAGAGTGATGGTAGAATGGAAGATAGAATGGTAGGGAGGATGGTAGGGAGACAGTAGGTGAATGGAGAGGATGATGGAGGGTGGAGGATGTAGGGGAGAATGGAGGAGGATGGTAGGGAGGACAGTAGGGAGGATGGAGAGGATGATGGAGGGGAGGATAGTAGGGAGGATGGAGGGGAGAATGGTAGGGAGGATAGTAGGGAGGATGGAGGGAGAATGGTAGGGAGGACGGTAGGGAGGATGGAGGGGAGGATGGAGGGAGGATGGTAGGGAGAATGGTAGGGAGGATGGAGGGAGAATGGTGGGGAGGATGGAGGGAGAATGGTGGGGAGGACGGTAGGGAGGATGGAGGGGAGGACCTCTGCTAGACTGGCCTCAGCCTCAGCCTCTCTGCCCCAGGAGTGCTCCCAAGGCCTGGTGGAGTCTCAGAAGCCATGCTGGTAACCGTGACCGCCGCGGGGTGCAGGGCAGACAAAATGGGAAATAGGAGCCTCCTGCGTCTTCACGAGGGAGGGAACGGGCCTCAGCAGGACCCAGCAGAGAGCCCCGTGGGGGACCCCGCGGACCCGGCAGGGCGGCGGAGGGGGCGGGGTGGGCAGCAGGGCTGCCGAGGGCCCTGTGCCGACGGGGAGCCGCGTGTGACGAGCGCCACGCTGAGCAGCACGCTCGATACTAAACAGCCATTAGTTTATCCCATCTGTTTACAAACGACTCCGGCTCTGGTGGAAGCCCTCCAGGCAACTGTCTCCCAGCCGGCAATTATTTCTGCAACAATGACTGTTTGATCAGGGCAGGGACTTCGGGTCATGGGACGGGGGCTGTGGGTCTCCTCGGGCGGGCGTGTGGCTCTGACCCTCGGCGGGCGGCGGGTGGGGGCTGAGCCAGGCACATTGTTTTTTCATGTTTAATGGCATTTATTCCAGCAACCACA